GTGAGTCTATCTTTTATTCTCCTCCGCTTTTTTATTTTTTTCTTTTTTTTTCCGCCCAATCGTTCGTTTCGTCCATCTCGTCCATTTCGTCGTTATTAATTCCTCCTTGTTATTTGCGTAATTAATTCCTCGTAACCTTGTTTCGAATTTCTTATTGCCTTTCTTATATCGTATATTGTTATCTATAAATGTATACAATCGTACGTCGTACGCGTTCCACGTATCCAAATTCTTGGAATTCGTAATACGCCAGCTGTGTTATGTTTACGTGTTTCGTAGAGAGAAAATTTCCTTGTCTCTCTTGTGTTTATATTATATGTATACACGGATAGCGTACGCGCGATCGTTTCTCATTTCGATCGTGTCGTTGAACCCGTGTACACGCGACGCTGTGGAACTGCGCCATCGTTATTTCTAACGCGACAATAGTAAAACGCCATTGGTATTTCATTTATGTAAATAAGCGACAGTCTGCACACCGGAAATTTCGCGACAATTCTACGAGCGAGAGATGTTGCGCGTGTGAATTAATTTAATTAGTCCGTCGATGCGAATAATTTTAAGGGCGTTGTCATCGTCACGTGTCCACCCTCGCGAGTGAAACAAGAGCGTATAATTAAATTCTTCTCTCTCGGCTTCGATCAGGTGAAACTTTAAAACGTAACCTTTCTCGTTTCGCGAACAACTAATCGCCTTCTACCTCTCTCTCTCTCTTACTCTCTTTTACTCTCTCTCCCTCTCTCTCTCCCCCTCGTTCGAGGATGATCTCCTTTTCAAAGTGGTACCGATCCGTTCGCTTTTGTAACGCGAATCTTAAAATGGAATCGAACATTGCGGGAACCAGGATCAAAGCGAGATTCGTTTTCTTTTTTTTTTTTCGCGAAATATTTAAAATCGACATGCAAGCTAAACTAACGTGTCTCCTGCCGTTTCGTTAATTATTTTTTTTAAATTAATCTTTCTCGTTCGCAGTTGTACTCGGCTCGAAGTCGAGTACGAAAATATCGGTATCGATAATCGATCGATAGAATAGAATCTCATCCCTCTTCTCAAAAGGGAATCGATCCGAGAAAACGAATCGATCGATTCGCCTAGAAATCCTGGTTAAATACAAGGTGGAAATGTTTTTTTTTTTTTTCTTTTTCCCCTTATTTGGACCGCGTCTTTGCTCGAATCGACGAATAAATTGCTTCTATCCCCCCCTCCTCCTCCTCCCCACGAACTTTTAGGAAAGCCAACCGAAAGCTTCTATGGAATCGCGCGAAAACGTGGGAGTGCTTTCAAGGGTGTCGTGGTAGGTCTTGGGCGTAGTCCTCTAGTTTCTCTCTCTCTCTCTCTTTCTCTTCCTCTTTTTCTCCTATCAACCCGTTCTCTCTTTTCTCTCTCACTGCCTTATTCTTTTTTCTCCCTCTCGATACCATTTCCCTTCGATATTTCATTGATACTTTGGCGTTTCGAAATGGAATCGTGGTGGAAAATTTTAAGTGAAAAATCATCGTTTCCACTTTTCCGTTGCGGTTCCATTATCTATTCCCTCGTCGTGCAACGTTGCACGATGGAAACGATGGGCGAGTTCACACGACCATGTACATATTTATATATATATATATATACGTGTGTAGTTTCGAACGTACGAATCCATTACGATTAAAATTTACGTTCGCTTTTGCCGACAATATTTACGCTGTGCTCGCGTGACGCGAATTCACGTCCCGATCTCTATTTCTCATCGTTTTCATCGTTTCACACCGTCGATCGTGCAAAAATCGTAAATCCAAACTTTTTCAACTTACGCCTTGATACGCGTGATCGCGTTAAATCAACTCCACCCGCACTTCCGATAAACTCCGTTTTAATCCTCGTCGTTCGTATCGTATTATCGTAAGACAACATATTCACGGAATCACGGATGTGATTTTATCCCTCGTCGATTCGTTCGTTCGTTCGATCGATAACGTTCGTTCTCGGATCTAATATTGCGAGTTTCGATTCGAATCATTAATTCGTATCGCAAACAAATTTCCCTTTAACCCGTTTCCGTTTACAGAGACAACACGAGGGCACATCTCGATCGCGATATCAACGGATATTCCACCGTCGTTCGTCTGCCGATCCACGAAATTTCTCTGCCTTATCCGCGGGATGTCCATCAAAATCCGTTGGAAATGGTTTCAACGCCATCGACGAATCGATGCTCCCCCTTTCACCCGCGTCTACCTATGAATCTCGTGAAACAAATCCAATCCTCGTTCCTTTCCTTCCCTCCTCCCTTTCTCCTCCTCTTCCCATCGAATCTTGAATCACGTGCGCGTCGACGTGGGTTTAAGATTCAAGGTTCATCGAATCATTTGAACTGTAATACCGATCTCGTATCTTGCCTCGAGATCCTTTTTTCTTTTTTTTTTAAAGGGACGAGAAAGGTTTTTGGACGATTGGGCGGCGCTCGTTTCATCGCGACCGCGGACACGCTTCCGGACAAAGGTCGACACTTCCGTGGCGTGGCGAGCGAGCTCGTGTCTCGGATGGAAATGCCGAACGGTCGAAAACCTGCTGACGCGGGGCCCACTTCCGCCCCGATCCCGATTCCCTGTCATTTTATCGACGAAATCCTTGATTAAACCACTCCTGACCCTCTCTCTCCCTCCTCCTTCCTGTTCAGTTACCGTTCAATTTTCGATGAAACATCGGAATTTTCAGAAGCGTCGGTATTATTATCGTATATCCCCGACCGATAAAGATATATATTCGCGTTTATCGCGTTTCAATTTTATTTTAACAAAACGTTGCCGCAACGGCGGTTGTACAGATTTTTATCTCTATCTTTATTCGTTGTTCCGTATATACGCGCATGTACACCCTTCCTACACGACGACGACGACGACGACGACGACGAGACTTTACTCGTTTAATTAAAATTAATTTCCACTTTCGATCTTTTCCGCGTCGATTTATAAAAAAAGGGGATATCGGATTTTTTTTGCTCGATAAAAATGCAAACTTTTTCCATCGTGTGTGCGGGGTTTAAAAAAAAAAAGAAAAGGAAGAAAGGGAGGGTAGAAGAAACGTCATTAAGGGAAGAGAGGAGGGGAGAGGATTGTCATCGTCGGTCAATCGTTTCTCTTAGACGTGACGCGAACGTGATTTACCGACCGGGATATATTGATATTCAAATTTATGATCCCAGTCATGGCTCTGCGCAGGGACGAAATTTACATTCGAATTAACGTCTGCCTCCACCTCTGCGGTGGCCGAGGTTTCACGTTCCCTCGTCACGTTCGCCAACGTTCTTCGCGAAACTTTCTTTCTTTCCTTCTTTCTTTCTTTTCTTTCTTTCTTTCGTTCCTTCGTTCGTTCGTTCGTTCGCTCGTTCGTTCGTTTGACCCGATGCCAGGTATTTCGTGGAAGAGCTCGATCCGCTCGATGTTCGAATTAATTCTTCAAACTTTCCACCTTTTACCGCGCGAATATTAATTTTCCACCGTGTACACACGAGATCAACGTAGAAAATTGTTCTTCTCGCGTTTCTTCTTCTTCTTCTTCTTCTTCTTCTTCTTCTTGTTCGAAATCTCGAAAGGGAGTTAGAGGTTATTTTCTCACGAAACATTGAAATTTCAATGAAGTTCGTGAAATTATACGTACAACTTTTTCCCTTCTCGTATAATAGAGACTTTTCAAAAAACAAAAGTTTTATTTTCCGTCGAGACTTTCGTTTCTGCATCGAAATGCGGATATCGTGGATGATCGTCGAAGGTGTTTCGTATACCGATTGGCGATCGTTGAATAAAAATTAAGGCAGAGTGGAACGAGTGTGTAAAAGAGAGAGAAAGAGAGGAAATAGAGTCGATTCGTGGCCCGGTCCTGACTAATCTGTATCGAATTTACGATGATTTTCAATCGGCCTCGAATTTTCTACGATGATCCTGTTTGTTCGCGCGGATACCCACACTCTGTAACGCCACACTTTTTATCGCTTGCTCCCTGATCCGATTTTCTGTTTCACCAGATGAGCACGCGTATTATCGCATAATCCGAAACGTTTACAATCTTCTGTCCTCTTTCCCTCCGTTTTCCTTCTTTCTTTTTAATTCGCCGCAATCGGTATTGGCCGATCGAAATCTTTCTATGGAATTCCAAAGTTTGATTAAAATCCGTGAAAATTACGATATAATTCCGTAACGGAATTTTCGCTTCGATTCACGTTTTTCTCTGATATAAATAGAAATTTTTGTTCTTTTATTCAAGAGTTAGAAATTCGATAGAAATCGAATTCGATCGATTCGGAGAAAACATTTTCACAAATAGAATTAGCAGAACCAAAGATCGCGATTAAACGCGAACACGTACATATCCCTTTTCAAAATGTTATTTAACCCTCTATCGCATGAATTTTTATGAATTGAAAAAAATATATATGGCTGTCCTCTTCTTTTTTAAAGCATTGTACGTATTTTGCAGAGCACACATTTTTTTTATTGAAGATTCTCCAATTGGGAACGGAATGCAATAGAGGGTTAATTCTCTCTCTCTCTCTATATATATAAAACTTTGAAAATTTCCTTCGCGACAACACTTTAATTTCTCAAAATTACGAGATTACCTCGATTGTTTCGATATTCTTCCTTCTTCGAAATGATCCCCCCTGTTCTCGCGATCATTCGCGCGATGGAGAAAGCCAATAATTAATAGTTGGAGGGGCGCACTTTTATCGGCTTTTTTTTTTTTTTTTTTTAATCTAGAGGGTGAGCGACCGAGGGATGGATGGGAGTACACAGGTTAAAGCGACCGAGTTGGTCGGTCACTGTGAAGTGGTGGTGTTACACCACGTAACCAAGTGGACCGCACCCACCGCACCGCTTCATTTTCTTACTCGTAACGTAAATTGAGTGATAGAATGCGAATACGCGCCTCTCCACCAACCCCGCCTCTCCAGATATGGATTTTTTCCGGCCGAGGGAAAAGGAAGAGAGTGTGTCCCTCGTTAATTTTTTTCCTTCCATCCC